CAAACTCTCCCAAAATAAGAGAGGAGGGAATTCTTCTAAACTCATTTTATTACCCTGATACCTAAACCAGACAAGGACACCACAAGAAAAGAAAATTACAGGCGAATATCCCTGATCAACAAAATGTTAGCAAACTAAATTACAGTAGAATTACCAGATGATTCAGCAATTCCACTTGTGGTGTTTAGCTGAAGACAATGAAAACAATAATTAGAAAAGATGTCTGCATCTCCTTGTTCATTGCAGCATTAACTACAGTAGCCAAGGTATGGAAACATCTTAAGCATCTATCAATGAAGGAACAGAGAAAGAAACTGTGGTACACAAACACATAATGGAATATTATTCAGCTGTATAAAAGAATGACCTCTTGCCATTTGCAACAACATGGATGGATCTTGAAGGCATTATGCTAAGTGAAATAAATCAGACAGAGAAAGACAAATACTGTATGAACTCTCTTACATATGGAATCTCAAAAAGAAAAAGAAAGGAAAAACAAACTCAAAGGTGGAGATGTCAGTGTTGTTGAAATGCGTGAAAGGAGTCAAAAGGTAACAAGTAAAATAATAGAATTGACAGTGGGGAGGACAAAAAAAAAAACAAACCAGACAAATAGAACATGGAAAACAAGAAAAATCTTTGTGTGTACCTATAATCACATTTTTTTCCTGCAGTTTGAACAAAAGACCCCACCTACTCATTTTTCACTAAGATGTGCAAATTATGTAGCCAGCCCTGTTCCTTGAAACTGAGTTTCTTAAAGTTGGATCACATGCTTTTTCATCCTACTATTCTGTATCTAACATTGTATATGGCATTTATTAGACATTTAAAAATGCTTTTTGAGATAATTTTCATTAACTTAATTTGATTTATGTTTTATACATAGATATTAATATGTGTATTACATATTTATGTTTATACACTTATATACTGTGATTATATAATGATGTATGCAGTAGGTAGATAAAAAATATTTAGAAAACTGATTTTCAGACATTTTGATCTTTCAGTTATTTCTATATTGAGAAAACTGTTTCAGTCTCTGAATTTGAAAGCCATTAATCCAAATGCTAATTTAATCAATGCTATCTTTTTAAAACTATAAAAAGTAAATTAATATCAGGTAAGCAGATTCATTGCACTATAAGCTTTCAGAATGTGCCCAGTGTCAGCACATTTCTATGAGAAATGAAGCTGTTAATGCCACACACACACACACACACACACACACAAATAATATAATAGTATCTGCCTTATAAGGTTATTATGAGGGTTAAGTATGACAGTATGTGTAAGTCTGAATCTAGGACTTGGAATATAGTAAGAACTTATAAATAGGAATTTCAGCTCCAAAATCTTGTTTTGGTAGCTCTGCAATGACAAGGACAGTGTCTTATTTATCCTCGAATGTGTAGTGCCTGGCATATAGAAAGCTGTTTTATAGTATGTTGTTGCATGTATGTTAGAAGGACTAAAATTTTATTTTCTTATGCAAGCAATCTGTTTTTTGTGTGTGGCATGGTTTTATTTGGGAAAGTCACAGAATATTGCCAAGGATTTTAATACCATGGTTGTAATTTAAGCAGCAGTAGGAATTACCATGTCATGGCAGTAGCTTTCAACTTTTTCCCAAGGTGACACACTCTGTACATGTAATTCTCCAATGGACATACTCAGCATCGGGAGCAACTTCTAGTATGTTAGCTGTAACTCTCCCTATTTTTATTCCACTTAAAGATGTAAGTTATTATGCAAATCATCAAGAGGATATTGAGAGGATAATGAGATAACCATGAATTCACCTAAATTAAATTTTAAATTTTGTTAGATGTTATTATCTTAATTATCATTGTTACTATTTTGTTATGTGGCAGGTAGGTTGAACTTCTTAAAAGAAGTCATTGAATTCTTCAAAATTCATCAGTCATTCTTTCTTGGTTCACAGCCATCTTAATTTTCCTCCTTTCCCGTCCAGTTAGTCACGGCTAACTCTTCCCTCCATGAAAGTCTCTGTTCCCTTGGTTTCCATGACACCAGTATTGTTCTGGTGCTCTCCACTCAGCCAAACCGGGGCTCGCGAAGGCTAGCACTGGCTGCAAGTCATCCTCCATCAGTCCTCGTTCTCCCTGCCCTCTAAGCAGCATTCAATATTACGACTGTTCTCTCCATGAAGGCTCTGCTGCTTTGACTTCCTTGACAGCAAGAACATCCCTGGCCCTCCCACGTCTAACTGTCCCAGCCTTCTAACTGCTTCTGACTCTAGTGATGGGACTTCTTCTCTCCTAACCCCAAATCTGGGGTTTCTCCAAGGATTTTTTTCCTAGGCCTACTTATTCACTCTCCTAGTCTTCCTTTCTTGGTGATATTATCCATTTCCAGTCCTTCAGCCATCACTCTTATGTGTATGACTTCTACCTCTTTATCTTCTTGTTGACCTCCCTCCCCAACTCACATCCCACGTTCCTAATACTGCTGGATAATTTGGAAATTCATCTGCCAGCTTACATTCAATATACCAAAAATGCTGATTATCTTTCCACCAAAACCAATTCCTTATCATGACTTTAGTTAGTGGATACCCCTTTTAGGCTGACTTAAAAGCTTTGAGTTAATTTTGGAACTTCTCTTCATCTCTGCCTTTTTGTTTTAATCACCCTGTCGTTTCAATACAACTGTTCAGTGTTGCCTAAGCCTAGTTCTGCAGTCTTTGAGTCCCTCCATTTTCTACTTTCTCTGAATGCCATTGCCCAGCCGTAGCTACAATGAAAAACATTAGATAAATGTTCTGGCTGTCTGGCAGAGGGGAAAAATGTGTAAAAGCAGTAATTATAATCAATGATATAGAAGTAAAGGAGAAACATCCCAAGGAAGAGAGGGCAGGGCAAACTTCATAAAGCAGGTAACATTAGCTAAAACTGGAAAGACAAATAGGAGTCAGACTGAACAAAGGCAAGGTGAACATTCTGGAAATAATAACACACTCAAGGGGGAATGCTGGCAAAGAAGACCATGCCTCATTGTTGAGGTGAAGTAGTTCCATAAGGCTGGGGCTCTGGCTTCATGGGGGGATACAATGGGGGAAGCAGGAGGTAAACTCCAGAGGTAGTAGGAGGAAGAAGGCATTAGGGCCTTCTTTCAGTTATATGTTGCTACATGAAAAGTGACCACAAACTTCATGCCCTAAAACAACCACCACTGATTATTTCTCACAGTGCTCCAACTGAGAAGCAATCTCTGGGGATGGTTTATCTCCGTTCCATGGGCTCAGGTGGCACAGCTATCCTGGGGGCAGGAGGATCCGGGATCCTTACTCACTTATCTAATGCTTCAGCTGAGAGAGCAGTGGCTGACGGGTCCTCTCTTTTTCATTTGCCATGGTCTCTCAATATTCAGTAGTTCACCTTACATGGAAACTATCCTAAGGGGGCAAAAAATGGAACTTCCTAGTTAAGCTACCTAGCTTCTTAAGGCTTAGACCCAGAAGTCTCATGACTTCCCATCCCTATATCACTTCCCTTACATTTAAAGTAAGTCACATGCCAGCCCAACTTCCAGGAAAAGAGAAACAGATCCCACCTCCCTTTGGGGAGGAGCAGCATGAATATAGAGGGATGGGAAGAAACGTTGACCTTCTTGAGACGTACCACAGGCCTGAGATCACTGCATTCTGTAGGGTACTGTTGTAAGATTTTAAGCAACAGACTGACATTTTAAACTTACATCTTTAAAAATATCTCTCTGATTCCTTCATGAAGATTGAATTTAGGGGTCAGGACCAGTATTTGAAAAAAGAGCAACCAGTGAGAAGCCTCTACCAGTGTATTACAGGTTAACTGCAGTGAAGCCTTTTCTGTGGGCCCACATGCCTTGTCATAATTATTTCTCCTCATGGAAGCAAATGGAATGAACAAAATATGAGGGATGCCTCGTTTTCTTTAAGCAAGACAGCACCAAGATACTTGTGCCCTTTCTGGAAAGAGATTAACATCTGCCAAAGGGAAGTAAATATGTAATACTAGAAATCATCTACCTAATGCTTTTTTGTTTAGAAATACTACTACTTTTTTATTTTATGTTGTTGTTTCTATAAATAAACTGGTAAAGTCAGATGATTCTTTGGGGGAGAGCAAAACCTGCTTTGTTTGTTCCTAGGGTCTCTTCATGTGTCAGAGCATGCAGGCTTATGTGATCATAAAGTTCATATGGCATTTTATTTCTATGCAAAGTGAACCCCTTGACTTTTGCCTCTAGTTCCTCCTACAGCGGTCCTAAGGGTTAGTGTACATGAAAAAGCCACAGAAAATACTTACAGAATTTAAAATGCTTTATTACAACACCTCAGTCACTACATTTCCTTCATGAATAACAGTTAATGGGTAAGTAATTGCACCTTAATCAGAGCACAGAAACTAATGATCATCTTAGTATTTGCTAGAGCAAACTGAGATCCAAAATCTGGAAATGGAGAGGAGATGGTCCTTTTGGATTTTCATAGGTTCATACAGGTCCTTCACTAAGTGTTCCTGGAATCAAGATTTCAACTGTAAAGAAAACAGTGTCCTTTAAGTGTGAGAACCTGAGGATAAGGTTGAAATCTGGTCCCTCTTGGCCAGTGTTCACGTGCTCTATCAGATGTCTGAACACTTAATTAATGCTATGGTAGGCACAGGACGATGTTAATTTTCCCCACAGGCTCCAGAGTGCAGTGGCTAGAAGCCAGGATCACTTGGAGAGATTTGGTCTCAAATCCCAGCTTTGCCACTTCCTAGTTATGTGACTGTGAGCAAATTCCTTAATCCCTCTAAGCTTTAGTTTCTTCCTCTGTAAAACCTCAGTAATAACTGCACCTTCCTGGTAGGATTGCTGTGATGGATTAAAAGAAATACTGTTTATAGCACTTCCCCTCATGAATAGCACACGTACTCAATAAATTTTAACTGTAAATGTTTTAATGGATTTCCTGCTGATCGTTCTTGTTTCTCTTTATTTCTCAGGGAGATGTTAATCTCTGTGGCTCTGGGCCAGGTGTTATCCCTCCTTATTTGTGGAATTGGCTTGACCAGCAAGTACCTGTCAGAAGATTTCCATGCGAATACACCAGTCTTCCAGAGTTTCCTCAATTACATCCTTCTTTTCTTGGTCTATACCACCACACTAGCAGTCAGACAAGGTAAGCATGCAAAATCCCAGGAATATAGCTTGGTTTCTCCTTTACAAGCATATAGAAGAATGATGAGCTATTACCAGGTAACTTTTTCACTTACAGTATCATAAGACAATTCAAAACCCTAAATCTCACTCTTCTATTTTGCAGCAATACAGCAAACAAAATGAATGAATAAATCACAAAGAAGCATAAATAGTCTGAGTTCAGCAGGAAGTAGAAAATGCATGTATAAGCAGAAATGTACAATTGCTCACTATTTGAATTCCTGTTAACATCCCTTGTACCTCTCAGTAAATCTAAATAGAGTACCTCCCTGGAACCTGGAACAGGCCTGCTGCAGTTATCTTAAATAATGCTATCCCTAAGAAAATCCAAGAGAATTACAGACAAATACATGGGAAAGTAACATGGGAAAGATAAAAGTAGTAAACACACACAACTCTAGTAATAACAAAGGGGGAAAGTAAGTCCACATATGTTCAGGTGAAATGTTCTATCTCAACTTAAAATAGCTAAAGCAATAAAACAAGTCCTCCAAGAGCCAATGCAAGAAAAGCTTTTTGATGGCCAATTGCAGTTAGAATACTTGGAGTGTATCTTTGGAGGTTATACTTCAGAACCTTGTGATTATAACCACTGAATCTCTTGTAAATGCTTTTATCTATGGCCCAGAAATAGCCACCATTTTCCCCCAGTAGTAGTGTTGACTGTAAAATATGCATTGAAAAATAATCATTAATAGGTTTAAAGACAATTCTATATTTTAATAATAAATAAGGATGCATGAATAGCTGTATACATCAATCCTAACAATCATACTGTTTTAAAACTTCTATAAGAACTGTATATCATTATTTAGTTTTTATACATCCTCATTTGGTGGCCATCCAGAATAATAGTGCTTAGTTATGATTTGTGCATACTAGATTTCATTCATTGGGACAGAATTCAAGTTTAATTTTGGATTTGTTTAAAGTATTGAAGAAGCTGATTTCATTTACTTCTCAAAAATTGGTGTAACTGGTGTTTGTTTTTTAACATTTAACATCAGTAGACATAACTAATTTAAAAATAAAATTTCAATCAAAACCTCAGGATACAAAAGTTATAGACATTGAGTCTCAGCTGTATTTCTTCAGTGCGTTTTGGAAGCTAATTATTTTGAATGCTACAAGTGCCGCCCCCCAAAAAAATCACATGAAAGTGGCTGAATTTATCTTCTCTAGGTATTTTTTTTTGGTACCATTAATCTACAATTACATGAGGAATATAATGTTTACTAGACTCCACCCCTCACCAAGTCCCCCCCACATACCCCATTAGTCACTGTCAATCAGCGTAGTGAGATGCTGTAAAATCACTACTTATCTTCTCTGTGTTACACAGCCCTCACCGTGCCCGCCCCATTATACATGCTAATCGTAAGGTCCCCTTTCTTCTTCACCCCTGCTTCACACTTCCTTCCCACCCAGTCCCTTTTCCTTTGGTAACTGTTAGTCCATTCTTGGGTTCTGTGATTCTGCTGCTGTTTTGTTCCTTCAGTTTTTCCTTTGTTCTTATACTCCACAGATGAGTGAAATCATTTAGTACTTGTCTTTCTCCACCTGGCTTATTTCACTGAGCATAATACCCTCTAGCTCCATCCATGCTGTTGCAAATGATAGGATTTGTTTTCTTCTTATGGCTGAATAATATTCTCTTGTGTATATGTACCCCATTCATCTACTGATGGACACTTAGGTTGCTTCCATTTCTTGGCTATTGTAAATAGTGCTGCAATAAACATAGGGGTGCATCTGTCTTTTTCAAATTGGGCTGCTGCATTCTTAGGGTAAATTCCTAGAAATGGGATTCCTGGGTCAAATGGTATTTCTATTTTGAGCTTTTTGAAGAACCTCCATAGTGCTTTCCACAGTGATTGAACTAATTTACATTCCCACCAGCAGTGTAGGAGGGTTCCCCTTTCTCCACAACCTTGCCAACATTTGTTGTTGTTTGTCTTTTGGATGGTGGCGATCCTTACTGGTGTGAGGTGATATCTCATTGTGGTTTTAATTTGCATTTCTCTGATGACTAGCAATGTGGAGCATCTTTTCATGTGTCTGTTGGCCATCTGAATTTCTTCTTTGGAGAACTGTCTGTTCAGCTCTCTGCCCATTTTTTAATTGGAATGTTCGCTTTTTGTTTGTTGAGGTGCATGAGCTCTTTATATATTTTGGATGTCAACCTTTATCAGATCTGTCATTTATAAATATATTCTCCCATACTGTAGGATGCCTTTTTGTTCTGTTGATGGTGTCCTTTGCTGTACAGAAGTTTTTCAGCTTGATATAGTCACACTGTTCATTTTTGCTTTTGTTTCCCTTGCCCAGGGAGATATGTTCATGAAGAAGTCACTCATGTTTATGTCCAAGAGATTTTTGCCTCTGTTTTTTTCTAAGAGTTTTATGGTTTCATGGCTTACATTCAGGCCTTTGGTCCATTTCGAATATTTGTGTGTGGGGTTAGACAATGGTCTAGTTTCATTCTCTTACGTGTAGCTGTCCAGTTTTGCCAACACCAGCTGTTGAAGAGGCTGTCATTTCCCCATTGTATGTCCATGGCTCCTTTATCATATATTAATGGACCATATATGTTTGGGTTAATGTCTGGAGTCTCTATTCTGTTCCACTGGTCTGTGGCTCTGATCTTGTGCCCATACCAAATTGTCTTGATTACTGTGGCTTTGTAGAAAGCTTGAAGTTGGGGAGTGAGATCCCTCCCACTTTATGCTTCCTTCTGAGGACTCTAGGTATTTTTATCACCAAATAGCCTAGTCTACAAGACGATCAGTTGTAATTTGTCTTTGGGGTCTTGTTCATCTTACTCTACCAGGAGTCCACGGATTTAACAAATACATGCATTAAGAAAAAAGTGAAATCAAGCCATTCTAGGAAGCAAGGGAATAATATCATAGTCCACAGGTAGAGACAGAAATATTAGAAAACTAAAGGTAGCAAAAGACCCAAAGTTAATGATACCTTCTATTGAAACTTTATAATCTTTCAGACACTATGTATATGAATTACCTCTTTTATTCCTTCATTCCAAAGAGATAGGTGTTCTAATCCAAGATTTTGTAAATGAGAAAACTGAGACTCTGCCCGTGTCCGGAACCTGCTCCAAGCTACAGAACTAGGAAGCATAGAGGTACACCCGAGGCCAGGGCTGCACGCCGTTCTGGCCCCTCTTCCCAGAGCATGGGAGGCCACTGGAGAGAGAAGGGAGATACTTGTGAGCAAAAGGAGGGTTTTTTACTTGAATCTCAAAATCCCGCAGAAGAAAGCAGCCCTGGGTGCAAGATCTAGCGAGGCAAAGGAGCAAAGTCAAGAGAATGTGGCCAAGATTCATGTGGGGAAGGTGGGCAGGGGAGAGCAGATAGGGGAGAGGCAACACTGGATGGAGGCCCAAGAAGAGAAGCAGCAAGGGATTTGGAGGCTCTTTGGAAAGAAGACTGAAGAGAGCCTGAGGAAATTCTGTCTGTCCCTGTCAGTTATAGAATAAATTTCTAAAATGTCCTATTTGGAGATTTTTACCATTGCCTCCAATTATCACTGAATTTGCTGTCATGTCTTTATCTGGGTGTTTACCCAGAATTTTTGCTTTAATCTTCATCTTTAGAAGGTTTAATAGGCTGGCATTACACTAACATCTGGAAATCAACATAGTAATTACATTAATTTTGTATAGGCTGATTCAGTAATATGTTCTAGAGACATAATAATCTCTCTCCTATTTCACCTCAAGATTTGAGAGGGAATAAACAACAGCAAAGAGGGGAAGGGGAATGGAAAGTGCTCTGTGTGTAGGGAGATGTCCTCATGACCACAATTTCTCCTCCTTTCCTGGTTCTTGCCAACCACTCCCAAGAGCGCTACAGATTAAGACTTAACAAGATGCCTGTCTTCCCGTCTCTGCCAGCCCAGATGTCACCTATCTTGCTGGGCCACCATATTAATTTGATGCTACCTTAAACTACATAACAGCAAGAAGTTAGATTTGGAAATATACTTTTAAACAAATCTTCATAATTTCAATCATAAAACAAAAATTATAATTGTCACATAAACACAATATGATAAATGCAAGAAGCCCTTTAAGAATGTTAAGGGTGATGTTATTATAAAAGCCTTGGGAAAACTTGACTTCAAAGTTGAACTGAATTGTCTTTATCAAATATCATTGGACCCATGATCAAATATTCTGAAATAGAAGGTTCCAGTAGAAGTCTGAGTATAACTGCAGTTGAAACTGAAGTTTTGAATTTGTCCCTGATTATTATTAGATGACTACAAAAATTTGAGTACTTCTCTTCTTTAAAAATTTTATTAATTTGTTTATTAAATAAATAACCTATTTATTATTTATTTATTTATATTAAGACATCATTGACATACAATCTTATGAAGGTTTCACATAACTGACATTGTGGTTACTGCATTCACCCCTATTATCAAGTTCCCACCTACACCATTGCAGTCACTGTCCATCAGCAAAGTAAGATGTTATATGGACTATGTGTCTTCTCTGTGCTGTACTGTCTTCCCCATGACCCCCCTTCACTTTGTGTGCTAATCACATAATGTGTGCTCTCTCTCCCTCCCCACCCATCTTCCTCTACCCATTCCCTTTGGTAACCGCTAGCTCCTACTTGGAGTCTGTGAGTCTGCTGCTGTTTTGTTCCATCAGTTTTGCTTGTTGTTATACTCCACAAATGAGGGAAATCATTTGGTACGTGTCCTTCTCTGCCTGCTTAATATTCACTGAGCATAATACCCTCCAGCTCCATCCATGTTGTTGCAAATGTTAAGATTTGTTTTTTTCTTATAGCTGAATAATATTCCATTGTGTATATGTACCACAACTTCTTTAACCATTCATCCATTGATAAGCACTTAGGTTGCTTCCATGTCTTGGCTAATGTAAATAGTGCTGCAATAAATATAGGGGTACATGTGTCTTTT